CAAGCTACCTTCAGTGTGCACCATTTGACCCCTTCAATTGTAACTAATCATTCCCCACATCATTACACCTCCACCACCGTGCAGCAGAGCTTCTTCAACACAGTTTTGGGCTAAACCTTCATTTCGCCCACAGTAGACCATACACCGTCTATCATGACGCTGCTACAGACATTTTTTTTTTTTGTCACTGAACCAGACACGTCTCCACTGATTGTCACCTGCCCAGGGATGATGCTGGTTGGTCCAAAGAAGTCGATGTTAGCGGTGGCAACACGTAAGGACAGGTTCTCGGTGGGACATCGTGCTCAAAGTCCAACGTAATGCGGTCTGTTCCGAACAGTTTGATCAATGTCCGTGCAGTTGAGGAAGCTATTGTAAATGTGTCTCTGAGGTGACCAATCCAAATTAAGCGATTCTCGGCTTCTATTATAACTCTGGGTGGCCCACTGCGATGTCGGTCCGCAACTGAACCAGTGGCGTGGAACCGATGCTAAAGTCGACTGGTGGTACTCTGGTGCATGTTTAGATGACTGGCAACCTTATTTTGACTTTCTCCTGCCTGCAATCGCCAATAACAATATTCCTTACATTTTATCTATAGAGACACCATTCGTGTCTGCTGGAAAATAAATTGAATGTTTTGGTGTAGCTTTATCCTTTTATAGAGTTTTAATTGAAATGAGTTGCTTTCTCAAGCGGGCATCATGAGCTATGCTCACAGATAATGATCTCAAACACAGTTGACCTCTGCGTTGTAACGGTTACAAAAACCTACACATTTCATGCCCACATGTCCACTGGACACGGTAAATAACAATTGAGACTGCTTTTCACATACCCGAGTATATTATTTTATTACAAAGTAATAAAAACACGCCATCAAATAACTATGCGTCTCTTTTTTTTTTTAACAGTATATTCGCAACACCAGCTTAAATTAAATGTACTTTTTAATAACAATAAAAACATTAACAATAGCAACAACAACAATAACAGCAGCACATTATTCATAGACTTGTGTTTATTGTTTTTAATTTTCACCCCACTAACATGCATGAAAATATCACTTAACTCAAGCAGGTGATTTACAGAACTCACTCTATCGTCAGCTCTCCTGCCTTGCGCCACTCTATTGTCAGCTCTCCTGCCTTGCGCCACTCTATTATCAGCTCTCCTACCTTGCGCCACTCTATCGCCAGCTCTCATGCCTTGCGCCACTCTATCGCCAGCTCTCCTGCCTTGCGCCACTCTATCGCCAGCTCTCCTGCCTTGCGCCACTCTATCGCCAGCTCTCCTGCCTGGCGCCACTCTATCGCCAGCTCTCTTGCCTTGCACCACTCTATCGCCAGCTCTCCTGCCTTGCACCACTCTATCGTCAGCTCTCTTGCCTTGCGCCACTCTATCGCCAGCTCTCCTGCCTTGCGCCACTCTATCGCCAGCTCTCCTGCCTTGCGCCACTCTATCGCCAGCTCTCCTGCCTTGCGCCACTCTATCGCCAGCTCTCCTGCCTTGCGCCACTCTATCGCCAGCTCTCCTGCCTTGCGCCACTCTATCGCCAGCTCTCCTGCCTTGCGCCACTCTATCGCCAGCTCTCCTGCCTTGCGCCACTCTATCGCCAGCTCTCCTACCTTGCGCCACTCTCTCCTACCTTGCGCCACTCTATCGCCAGCTCTCCTATCTGGCGCCACTCAATCGCCAGCTCTCCTGCCTTGCGCATGTTCCTACTCAATGTGTCTCTCATTTCCTGTGTCCATCGCCATGCTTGTCGGGCCCTCCCCTCCTTTCTCAGTACTATGCCGTCTGCCACAGTTCTTTTCAAACAACTGTTATGCTTGATATGACTAAAATATTTCAATTTTGGAGACAAGATGTTGTTTATGAGCCAATGTTTCTTGATGTAGATCTTTTAGTGTGTCTGTATTTCTTTTCTTCATAGTCCGTGGTATTCTGAGAATTACTTTTTGACTCCCATAATAAGTTTCATTAATAGTACAATGAGAAATGAATTTAAATATCTTAGAACAACATTCACTGAAGATGGTAAATTAGGCGAAGAAATTTTTATTTGATGCAGTAAAGCTGGCCAAGTATTGGGACAGCCAGCCCCCCTCTGACAACTTAAGGCAATCCCAATCAGCACAAAGAGACATCTCATACAAAGCATATTCATTCCCACCCTTTGCTACCAGTGCCAGATGTGGTCACTCACTACAAAACATAAAAGTAAATTAGTAGCCATGGAAATGAGGTGTCTGAGAAAGGCTGTAGGAGTGACCAGAAGATTAAATCAGGAATGAGATCATTCGAGATAAAGTCGTCACTGAACCAATTCTAAATTACATAAAAAGAAAGCAAATAAAAATTGTTTGCGCACTTGGAGAGAATGCCTTATGATGCTATACCATGAAAGGCATATACCAAAAGAGGAGAGGGACGAAAGCAAGAGGTAGACCAAGAACAACATGGAAGGATAACATCAGAGAAACTCTAAAGTACCACGATGTGTCTTTGGTCCAAGCAGCCAGAAGAGCACGAAACAGGACTTTGTGTCTCCCTCGCGGTAAAAGAGGACGTAAAGAAGAAGAAAGTATTGAGTTTCTTGAGGTAGTAATGTGATTGTTTCTCCTTGCTTTCCACATTCACATGGCTTTAGACCGGGGATGGATAAACATTTTTGTCTGCGGGCCGAAGAATTCCCAGCCTGGCCACCGGCCATTTGGAATAAAATCATAATAAACACAACAGCCAGATATCGTGGCAACACACATTTGTGTGTGCTAATCTAAGATTATAATCCCTCGCTAGACAGACACACTAAAACTCTTTTATATATTCCTAAATTCTTTCTACATATGGCGATCTGTCATTTTCTGAGCTCCAGTAAACATTGATAGGTGGTAAAGTTTTGGCGCTCGAACCATGATTTGAGAACACCCCAACCCCACCCTTGTGCTTTAGACAAGCCATGGTTTGAGAACACCACACTCCCACCCCTGTGCTTTAGACAAGCCATGGTTTGAGAATACCGCACCCCACCCCTGTGCTTTAGACAATCCATGGTTTGAGAATACCGCACCCCACCCCTGTGCTTTAGACAAGCCATGGTTTGAGAACACCCCACCCCACCCCTGTGCTTTAGACAAGCCATGGTTTGAGAACACCGCACACCCACCACTGTGCTTTAGACAAGCCATGGTTTGAGAACACCCCGCACTTACCCTTTTTGCTTTAGACAAGCCAGGGTTTGAGAACACCGCACTCCCACCCCTGTGCTTTAGACAATCCGTGGTTTGAGAACACCCCACCCCCACCCCTGTGCTTTAGACAAGCCATGGTTTGAGAATACCGCACACCGACCACTGTGCTTTAGACAAGCCATGGTTTGTGAACACCCCACCCCCACCCCTGTGCTTTAGACAAGCCATGGTTTGAGAACACCCCACCCCACCCCTATGCTTTAGACGGCGACAAGGTCTAGAAGTTTACATGGTCAAAACATTATTTTGCAAGTGTTACTACCTTGTTAATATCACCATCCGTCCACTCTTATGCAACTACACTATCACACAGACTCCATCTGTGCAGACTCAACCCTACCCTGCTGTCTGGTGCACAATATGGACAATGAACCCACCACTAGAAAAGTAAATTGAGTCTCCGATTGTGGATACACAGAGGAATAGATCTCAATTCATGGAAACCAAAACAATCCAATCTGGTGAGACTGCGAATAAAAAGAAAGTTACTAAAATAAATCAAAAAGAGACAATTCAAATAGTTTGATCTCGTTAAAAGACTTAACACTCTTTTAAAAATCATACTGGAGGGGCCGGTCGAGGGCAAGAGAGCAAGAGGATACATCGATACAAATGGGAGGACAACATAAAGAGCTGGATCAACAGCAGTGAGAGTGTGAAAAAATAACTAAAAAGTACATTTTATATCCAAAGGATTACACATTGGGCACGTCTTCCATTCGGCCATCTCAAAAACTCATCTTTCAAACACCAGGATTATTTTATATGTCTAACTCAATATGTTGGAATATCTAAATGAATAATAGGACTGAAAAAAAAAAAAAAAAAACTTCAAACATACATGCAAACATACACGCACCGCAGGCAGCCACAAGGCAGACATACAAGGCAGACATACAAGGCAGCCACAAGGCAGACATACAAGGCAGCCACAAGGCAGACATACAAACCAGGCAGACGTAAAGACACAAACAGACATATAAATATACTGGCACATCAAATCCCCACACAGATACGACTTACAAACAGACAAATAGTACCCACACAGGCAGAGCCACACACATAGACAGACAGACCTACACATATGTATACACTCGCTAGACAAGACAAAAGACAAAGCGTGTTGGAGATCCATTGCCGCAAATCTTCACTATGGAGGCGGCACTTGATTGATCAACTTTCCTGAAATAACTTGTTAGCTCGTCTGAGGATCGGTTCATGTAGAGTGTTGAATACTCAGGATCGGTTCATGTGGAGTGTTGTATGCTCAGTATCGGTTTATGTGGAGTGTTGTATACTCAGGATCGGTTCATGTGGAGTGTTGTATGCTCAGGATTGCTTCATGTGGAGTGTTGTATGCTCAGGATTGGTTCATGTGGAGTGTTGTATGCTAAGGATTGGTTCACGTGGAGTGTTGTATGCTCAGGATCGGTTCACGTGGAGTGTTGTATACTCAGGATTGGTTCATGTGGAGTATTGTATGCTCAGGATCGGTTTATGTGGAGTGTTGTATGCTCAGCATCGGTTGATGTGGAGTGTTGTATACTCAGTATCGGTTTATGTGGAGTGTTGTATGCTCAGTATCGGTTTATGTAGAGTGTTGTATACTCAGGATCGGTTCATGTGGAGTCTTGTATGCTCAGGATTGCTTCACGTGGAGTGTTGTATGCGCAGGATTGGTTCATGTGGAGTGTTGTATGCTCAGGATTGGTTCATGTGGAGTGTTGTATGCTCGGGATCAGTTCATGTGGAGTGTTGCATGCTCAGGAATGTGGGCTGCGACTCGCAGAAGTAGAGAAACTTATTGCCACATTCGGCATCGGCGATCGGGTAACTGTCACTGTAAAAGTCCTTGTCGTACACACAGCAATCTTCTTGTGGAGACCAGTCGTCAGGCTGAGCTGTGGGAAACAAACCTACAGATGAATCGGAAGTAGCTGTGTGTTTCTTTTACTGCAGCAGTCTCCAACCTTTTCAGCCCGTCTACCCCCCCCCCCCCATTAAGTATATTGAAAAAGCCCACACCCCTTCCCCATTTTGAGTATATAACAAGACCCCAACTATTACAAATAGAAATGCACTCAGTTTGAAAATTGTTTGATACCCCTTGATACCTCATCGCCCCCCCCCACCACCGCCCTCCCCCCTTCACAGGGAGACCACGCCCTTTACTGGACTTTCCGAAGCAACTCGTGAACTTTTTTTTTTCGACTAAACAATTTTGTTTTACGTTCAGTAGTTTGACAAAGTAGTGACATAGAAGAGGAGAAATATTGACATCTTAAAATATCTGAACATCAAGGAAGATTGGCTAATAAACAGCATCCTTTCTCGGAAGCTGAAATATTTTGGTCATATCAAGTGCCACAACGGATTGGAAAAAACTATAGCAGAAGGCATGGTACCAGGAAGGAGGGGCAGGGGCCGACCGAACGAAGATGGGCACAGGATATGTGACTCCTTGAGTATGAGAGTATATGAGGCAGGAGAACTGGCGAGAGACCGAGTTTCTTTCAGGCAAACTGTGATGAGAGCGACTTTCTGCAAAGGACCTGCTACATGATGATGATGAGTTTGACATTGCTTTCCTAACGGCCAGCTCTCAATAACATTGCCAAAACCACGGCAACTTGGTCTGCAGTTAAATCGCACCCAGCTGAAACTGGGTATCTGACAATTCTGATTACATCTAAATGTGGTTATAGAGTGTATTTAGGTATGTGGGATTATTGTATCCACTAGTTCTTTCCTTCTTCTTCTTCTTCTTCTTCTTCTTCTTCTTCTTCTTCTTCTTCTTCTTCTTCTTCTTCTTCTTCTTCTTCTTCTTCTTCTTCTTCTTCTTCTTCTTCTTCTTCTTCTTCTTCTTCTTCTTCTTCTTCTTCTTCTTCTTCTTCATTTACATTAGTCAAGTGCTCAATATTATGTATGACAACTGGGCTTAGAAACCGGGTAAAGTCAAGGAGAATAAGGGAATGAGAATGACGGAAAATGTCGGGGTGGCGGGAGAAAAAAAAAAAAACAAGGGGGGAGGGGGAAAGGGGGGGGGGGGTGTGAGAATGACACTGACTGCATAGAGGTAATGACGATGATAATGTACCTTCACCAAAAAGTTGTTTCTGGAAATCGGGTGTGATCACCGTCTTATCATCGAGCCACTGGAAGATCCCTTCTCGCTGAATGTCGTCCAGTCCAATCCAAAATAGCTGATTGGCCGGTTTCTGGGCGCCTCCAAACAGGCGCAGTTTCGCTTCTGTTTTTAAGGTCAACAGATGAGCACCTTGCTCTGTTGAGAGACACGACAAAGTAGAACTGAGAGACACACTCCATTCTCTAGAATGCAGTATTTTAGTGGTTCTCAAAGTTTATAATGCCGCGACCCTTCAATACAGTTCCTCATGTTGTCGTGACCCCCAAACATAACATTATTTTCATTGCTACTTCATAACTTAGTGAATATGTGTTTTCCGATGGTCTTAGGCGACCCTTGTGAAAGGGTTTTTCGACCCCAAAGGGGGTCGCTACCCACACATTGATAACGGCTGCATTATTTAGACTTTCTTTCATATATTCAATGATGAGAGGAAAACATACAGGCTTTTAACGAGGTTGCAACCAGTACTTTTAGCATGTTGACTTTTCCTTGTCTACTGACGAATGAGACGGAACACGTGTTGGAATACCCGGAGTGCACAGTTCGTGATTTTTGATTTCTATCTCAGAAAACTATAAAGTGAGGATGCACCCTACTGCACCTGCTACAGTCAACCCTTACTCGCTTGTCACCTTAGATGCGTCCTTTGCAATCTCAATAGGACGACCAGATCGTACTTACATCAACAATTGTAGAGCGTCCTTAAGAAAAAATCTTTACCCAGCTGTGCACCGCATTGCGGGATAAACATTTGTCAGCAAAAACAGGAAGCAGTTCCTTATGAATATCCTTTAAAAGCAACCCTTTTGCAACAAAATAAAATAAAGAACAACAAAAACACAAGAAGAAGAAGGAAAAGAAGAAGAAGAAGAAGAAGAAGAAGAAGAAGAAGAAGAAGAAGAAGAAGAAGAAGAAGAAGAAGAAGAAAGAAGAAGAAGAAAGAAGAAGAAGAAGAAGAAGAAGAAGAAGAAGAAGAAGAAAAGAAGAAGAAGAAGAAGAAGAAGAAGAAGAAGAAGAAGAAGAAGAAGAAGAAGAAGAAGAAGAAAAGAAGAAGAAGAAGAAGAAGAAAGAAGAAGAAGAAGAAAGAAGAAGAAGAAGAAGAAGAAGAAGAAGAAGAAGAAGAAGAAGAAGAAGAAGAAGAAGAAGAAGAAGAAGAAGCAGAAGAAAAAGAAGAAGAAGCAGAAGAAAAAGGAGGAGGAGGAGAAGAAGACGAAGAAAAAGAAGAAGAAGAAGAAGAAGAAGAAGAAGAAGAAGAAGAAGAAGAAGAAGAAGAAGAAGAAGAAGAAGAAGAAGAAGAAGAAGAAGAAGAAGAAGAAGAAGAAGAAGAAGAAGAAGAAGAAGAAGAAGAAGAAGAAGAAGAAGAAGAAGAAGAAGAAGAAGAAGAACAAGAAGAAGAAGAAGAAGAAGAAGAAGAAGAAGAAGAAGAAGAAGAAGAAGAAGAAGAAGAAGAAGAAGAAGAAGAAGAAGAAGAAGAAGAAGAAGAAGAAGAAAAAGAAGAAGAAGAAGAAAAAGAAGAAAAAGAAGAAGAAGGAGGAGAAGAAGAAGAAAAAGAAGAAGAAGAAGAAGAAGAAGAAGAAGAAGAAGAAGAAGAAGAAGAAGAAGAAGAAGAAGAAGAAGAAGAAGAAGAAGAAAAAGAAGAAAGAGGAGGGGGGGGGGACGAGAAGGAGAAGGAGAAACAGTGAGAGACATACTTTGACAGGCGAGGCTAGCATCGGTATAGTTGAGTTTATCAGTGGATACGCCCAGACACATGGCTACGTCCCGTTGAATGTGTAGCCTGTAGCCTGGCTGGCTACATACAACTGAGGAAAAGAGGTAGCCTTGGAATAGAGATACGGGTGCCCGGTCATTTTTGACTGGTGCTTCTGTAACATAATCATTAAAAAAATTACAGGTATCCCCGTGGAGTTTCTGGGGCCACACTGTGGGAGCCAAAAGAAACAGAATAATATAAACAGACTCTTAATACGTAGGTCCTAAAATTGACTAATAAGGCGTACTTCCTTCGCAGTCATAGTGCAGCAACCTGAGAGGCGAGGAACCAATAATCTGCATAGGTATGTAGAAACGGATGTGCACGCAAAATTCAAGTTCTTGAACAAAGCTAAAGTCCAGGTAAAAGAAAACAAATAAATCTACTGGAGAGAACAAGCGAAGACAAGAGAGAAAGTACTAGGCAGTAATTCATTGGCAAGACAACATCAAGAGATAGGCGTACAGTAGAGAGTCTACAAACATGATAAAAGACAGCGTTGACAGGGTGCGTTTGCAGCAAACTTCATTGTGGAGATTGCACCTAATCGACTAAAAAAGATATATTATGCACAGTGGCGTCAGAGTTCCGGTTTCTGGGGTGAGGTTGGAAGGGAACGATGCAGGTACTCACCATAATGTGTCTAAAAGATACCGGTACTCACCATAATGTGTCTAAAAGATACCGGTACTCACCATAATGTGTCTAAAAGATGCCAGTACTCGCCATATTGTGTCTAAAAGATGCCAGAATTCAACATAATGTGTCTAAAAGATGCCAGTATTCAACATAATGTGTCTAAAAGATGCCAGTACTCACCATCATGTGTCTAAAAGATGCCAATATTCAACATAATGTGTCTAAAAGATGCCTGTATTCAACATAATATGTCTAAAAGATGCCGATACTCATCATAATGTGTCTAAAAGATGCCGGTAATCACCATAATGTGTGTAAAAGATGCCAGTATTCAACATAATTTGTTTAAAAGATGCCGGTAATCATCATAATGTGTCTAAAAGATGCCACTACTTACCATATTGTGTCTAAAAGATGCCGGTAATCACCATAATGTGTCTAAAAGATGCCAGTATTCAACATAATGTGTCTAAAAGATGCCGGTAGTCACCATAATGTGTCCATACAGCTGCACACTGAAAAAATAATGCCTCGAGAAGTGTCCTGACACTGCGTTTTCGTAAAACCAGAGAAAAACCCTGTACAGTGAAACTTCGAATTCACTTCACTCGTTTAACCGTCAGTTTTTGTCTAGTCCTCCCTTCTTCTTCTAATCTTAGGCTCTGGTCCATATGAGAGCTCACTTCGATTATCAAAAATTGTCTGAATACGGAAAACAATGAAATCAAATTAATAGACTAAGGGAAAGATAGATGCAAGAAGAAAAAGAAGAAGAAGAAGGAGAAGAAGAAGAAGAAGAAGAAGAAGAAGAAGAAGAAGAAGAAGAAGAAGAAGAAGAAGAAGAAGAAGAAGAAGAAGAAGAAGAAGAAGAAGAAGAAGAAGAAGAAGAAGAAGAAGAAGAAGAAGAAGAAGAAGAAGAAGAAGAAGAAGAAGAAGAAGAAGAAGAAGAAGAAGAAGAAGAAGAAGAAAAAGAAAGAAGAAGAAAGAAGAAAAATAAGATGAAGATGAAAACGATGATGGTGATGATAATGATGATGATAAGTAGGAGGACGAAGAAAATACAATTAGACGAGGATAAAGTAAATGAAAGAGGAGGACGATGAAGACAAAGGAGTAGTGATAGAAGAAGAAAAGGAGTAGGATGTCTGCTATCAAGCACAGACAATTCAATAACTAACCGAGTGTGCAAGCACTGGTCGCCTCATCGTAAGCAAAACTATAACAAGGCTGAGACATCTGGTGACAGGAAATGGCACAGCTGAACACTAACGAGGCTGTTCGTGCATGTGTCAAGCCTGACCTGCCATCGACACCATCTATCATCTGGAAGCGGAACAGCTGCACCGAGACCTGGCCGACGGCTTGATGAAATGACAAGATAAGAAATAAAAGCAATCAGGTGCGTACATTAACTGTGTGTTAGGGATACAAAGGGGTCTTTGAATAGCGCTTGTGATTCAATCTCATTATCAATATTGCCTTAGCAGCTGGTCTTCTCTATATAAAGTGTTCATACTAACAAATATATCACCTGTTATTGTTTTACCCTTTTACAAATTAATAATATACTTTTGTGAAAGGGACACATGCAGCACCGGATGTAAATTTGATGAGACCCTAAAAAATATGAAGCCCCGAAACCTCTATGGTTTTAAATCACACCAGCTGATCTAAGAAAACTTTAAAATATACAGGTACAGTTTAAAAAATGTGGAAGTTGGCGCTCATCATGCTGCTTATTTTATTCAAGCTACAAAGTGGTTATCGATCTTCCTAATGCTGCCACACTTGAATACAGTTCCCCATGTTGTAGTGACCTCAACCATAAAATTGGTTTCGTTGCTACTTCATAAACTCAGTGAATATGCGTTTTCCGATGGTCTTAGGCGACCCATGTGAAAGGGTCATTTGACCCCCGAAGGGGTCGCGACTGTCATGTTTAGAATCGCTGGTCTACAACAAGACACAATAAATAAAGACATTATATAATTATATAAACTGAAACAAATATGGGACATTTTCCCCTAGATATATTAAAAGAAAACTGCTTTGTGAAAAAATTAAAATGTTGTTGATGCCCCTGCAAATGGCGAGGCCCCGAGCTTATGCCTAAATCCAGCACTGGACAAATGGCTATGGACCGATATGTTCCCAGACCAAACGACACTCTATGGGTGAATGTTTTCAGGTTCACGCAGGCGGGTGAACCCTCTCCACATTTGACTGGGTTAGTTTGAACTCCACACGGGAGCATGTACAGCAGGGGTCGACCGGTCATCAGTAGAGATCCTTCGTCGAAAATTGTTTCGGCCTATTGCCTTCCTAAACAACTCGGAAGGTGGGCCGACCTTAGTCATGCAGCCAGGCCCCGATCTTTCCCTGCTGCACTTTATCTGACTCGATAGGGACAAGACGATATGGTGACTTATCAGATGATGTGAGATTTGGTGTTATATTGTCACTGCGGTAGCAAACTTTCCCAGTTGACTACCTTTACGACCAGAGTGACAAGCTTATGGTTGGTCCATCGGACAATTGGCAGAGAGACACCGGCAGACATTTATAGGACACTTTGGCATTTTAAGGGATAGGGCTTTTTTTTCCACTAGGGACGGAGCAGTCTACCGAGGCCCATCCCCCACGACGTTCTGTTGCGTCCAGAGCCAGATCGAAGCTCTTTCAGCGGCTTCGCCTAAATGTTTTAGTGACCGTTTACGCTAATTTCCTTGCAAGCCCAGATGCTTTAGCATATTGTAAGTGAAACTGGAGATAAGACCTCTTTCGCCTACCTCGAATTCGAAGATCTTTGCTGCGTACGTTTCGTCTCTCTTCAGACCGGCTACGAGCTCACCATATTTTGTGAGCTTTTACAGGTGATTTTCTTCCATCCGCAACTCTCACGGCACGGCGAGCTCAAACAGGAGTAGCTGGCGTTTTTTAGCAGAGTGTAGGACTATGTCAGGTGTCAGGCCGGTCTTCCGGATTAACTCTGGGTACCTTTCGAAACAAGCAGGTGGACAGCCAGTAATCTGTCCCTCGCACAGTCAAATATTGAGCGTATGCGACCTTGTTGAAAACACCAGCTACATTTTCCTGCCATCATATAATCATTTGTTACTTACTTATTGACTTGCCCTCCTACTACAGGGGAACAGCAGGCTACAAGGCAAGAGGCAGACCAAGAAAGAAACAGGTGGAGGAAGTAAAAGAGACACAACAGAAACGCAGTTTGCCATTAACACAAGCTGAGTAAGTAGCAGAAGAAACAAAACTACATTTAACTCTTTTCTGTGACCCTTTAACTCAAAAGACATATAAGCAATGAGACTCAGGAAGCCTTTGGAAGCGCATGGGGGTGACGGTAGGACTGACCCTCACGTTGGCCCTCATCCTGGCTTGGTCCACAACTTCCGCTAACTCTTTCAGGACTTTGTTGTGGCGCAAAGTGTATCTTCCCTGGCCTAAGGCTTTTCTGCACGCGTACAATACGTGCCTGCTTAGCTCTGCAAAGTGGGCATGTCGGATCTGTAGCCACATGCCATTTCACCGTGTTGACGCTAGACGGTAACAAATCGTACACAGATCTTACGACAAAGCTCAGTCGCAGCGGGGCCATTTGCCAGATCTCATCTCATGTGAGTACTCGTGGCAAGGCGCTCTCGAGGTCGATCCACTGGCTTTGCTGTGAATTTTGTGCGGCTTTTTGGACCCGAGTCTCGTTTTTGGCTCACTTATCTGCTGTATTACCATGTCTCTACCCTCTTTGGCTGTAGCTTCGGACCACCAACTGACTTTCCCGTTCTTTAGGCCGCGATGGTGTGTTTGTGTGTAACCCATGACTTCTTTCAATTTCAGTGCATCTTGTGCAGATTCTAGGCCTTTCCATTTCGTCCCTGTCTTTAGAGCGGGCTGAACAGCTGCCACCCTGGGGTCTCAAGACTCGCGCAGCACCATCGCATGTCTTACCTTGCCAACTTCAAACTCTTCGGTTATTGACTTGAACGGATGTACAAGCTTGACCTGTTTACAATTCAGAGCCACATCGGCCAGACAAGGCGAGGCCGAAAGCCATTTCCTCATGGCTGTGTTGATTTTTTTTCTCAATCGTTTCCTCTGCAATCATGGTCACCTCGTACACGAGCAGCGGCCAGAGGAGCTTTGGAATCAACATGAACTGGAGACACCAGACCTTGAACTTTCCAATCAACCTGCATCGCTCGATCTCAAGCAGGCCTGTAGCCAGTGACTCAAGTATTCGCCGGACCTCCGCTCTATCAGATAACTTCGAATCTTAAACGTGGCCGGGGCTCTTCACCGGTTCCTCCAGAACCGGAAGATCAGATTCTTTGTCGCCGTGAAACTGACCTTACCTTTTAGGATTAACAAACTTCTTGATTTCTGCGTTTTGAACTGCATTCCGCACCATTCGACAACACTGTCCAACCTTTTAGGAATCGTGTGGGCATCATCCTCACTGGCCGTTATGATAGTTGGGTGGCAGTGGGCGACCTGCTCGCCGATGATGTAAGACAATAGCGCCAGTGACTTAGCATATAAAATTACAGTGGTACCTCGGTATACGTTCTAAAAACGTTTAAGATCCTTGAGCGTATACTGAACAGGACGGGTACCAAATAAATATGAAGGTATAAAGGGAGAATGAACAATCCATTTACATGAAGAAAAAAAAAGTTCTGTTGTTATTGATCTATTATACACTTAAGAGAATTGTATAAAATATTTTAACACTAATAAAATACATAATGCAGAAGCGATCATATGGAATACATGAAAAAGAAGCGCCACTTTACCTTGCTGAGAAGAGTCGAGTGTCTAATAACTAGTATGGTGATGAGAAGGGAGGAGGAGATGTTATTCTTTCCAATAAGAGTTCCCTCCTAGTAAAATAACATTCTGATGTGTTTATTTTTTCCTCCGTTTTTCCCCCTGTCTCTTCTCCTTTTTTTTTAAAGACCTGGTTGAGGCTCAAGATGTTTGAGTTTTACTAAAAGGCTGTCCAAAGAACTTTGCCTCTTGACTTTTCCTCAGGATGTTTCGGAAATGTGACAATGCTATATTACCTCTTGCTTTGAGCTAATTTTTGGGACGGCACTGCTCTGCAAAGTTTGATGACGACGTTCAACCCCACACCGAGCGATAAACACCCAGCGACACTAAGCTCCATCATTCGGAAGAGGATCACTTGGGGATACGTCCCAGAAACTCGTTCAACTCATAGGTTGCGTTATTTTAGATCCCCCAGCAACAGCCAAAGTGGGGCTTTTAAAAAATATATATCGTCCGACATTAGGAAGCAGTGTATTTAATTGCTCTGAACAGTTTTTGACATCCATCCATTTGGCAAACATTTTTGGCATTAATTAAAGAGCTAAACAAAGATCGAGTGGTGTCGTGACTCACGTTGACTCATCCAAGCTCTTACCTGCAAGCCGTATTCCAAACAAAGGTCGTGTACCAAAAAAAAACCCATTTTCTTGTGGTAACAGGATTTATACCATGTGGGGCGTATACCAAAGCGGACGAATACCGAAGTGTCGCTGTATTACGATTGACTTCCCCTGTTGGCTCTAGTAACAGGCGATATGAATGTCAAAATTGTAAAGCTAGTTCCGTATCCTTTACAGGACATTGTAGAACCAACAACAGCAAATTATGTGTATGTGTGTGTGTGTGTGTGTGTGACTGTTCGTGATTTCAATGGGCAATTTTACGTTTAGTAGTTTGCCATTGCTCTACATAGTCGGCCCCTGATACCCCTGTTGGAAGCAACACACAGCAGCTGGGATCAAACGGAATTACGAACTGTGTTCGCAATAAACGTTTAAGGTAAAAGTTGCCTATCCTTTACAGGACGTTGTAGAACCGACCCCATCAGTTGTTGACCATGTTTAGTTTTACTAAGCAATTTTACATTCAGAAGTTTGCCATTTTTGTAGGAGCAACTGGACGAACGATTAAGAACGCTGGCGTCTCATGCTGGAATCACCAAGTTTGATCCTTAGCTAGTTTATGGTTTGTGTGTGTGTCAGTGTGTGTGTCACCGAAAAAGGATGGGGGGGGGGGGGGGGTTGGTTACTCCTAGCCTGCACAGTCCTGGGCGACCACACTAACCAAACGACCTTAAATCTCCAGGCACTAAGTTTACTTTCGCAGTTTGTCATTGCCACTGAACAGTCGACTGTCGTTACCCTAGTCAAAACAACACGAAGCGACCTGCTGAAAATATAATCGCCTACACGTGAATGGAACCGGTTGTTTCGGAACTGCAAACCTGGTTCGCTACCCCTCCTAATCAGAGACGGTAACAGGAAGCTTACCTTGAGCCAAACCTTGGAAAATA